ATTACAACAGTTAAAACTTGAGCATAGTATATGCCCACTAATTATTATGATAATAGTTTTATTGTTTATTATTTTATTTTACTAATTAGTCGACCGCATTCATCGAGTAATATTATTGTCTCCAAGAAATGTCTATGTTTTACTTTTATTTAATTGAAAATTCAAATAATATTATAATATATTATGTCATGTACCTATATATAATATGTGAGTTTAGTTTTTCCACATCAGTGAAAAACAAATGGAATTTTTTGTGGAAAACCTACACAGACGATAATCACATGACTTTTGTTTTATGTGATTGACCATTACCATTTCAGAGTTCACCAATATTTCGGTTACCATATATTGGGTATTATAATATTACACTAATATAATATTTTGATGAGCGTGTATTCTGTCACAGCAGCAGCTATGGTGAAAAAGTATATATAAAGTACGTAACTAGGACAAAACGATTTTCGATTTTGAAGCGGAAAAGTGGCTATACACACGCACACACAACCACGTTAATAAGATTACAGGCTGAGGGTTTTCGGCAAGAAGTTTTTCGGCGGCAAAATTTAAATAATTCTTCTCTTTTTCCGTTCGAATAAATCTACCCCTTCCGACCACCACCGTTACGTGAACACCGAAAAAAAATTCCCCGTCGAAGAGTTTCGCCGACGAGAGATCTCTCCGACCGTGTATAATCGGCGTTAGTTATATATATATATATATATATATATATGGCTTGGTGAATGGGAGTGCGGTGGCGGAGGTGGCTGAGGCTGATGCTGCGGCGGCGGGGTAGGTTTAAATAACGATTTTCGCTCGTCGAATTCCCTCGTCGCGCAGTATTTTAATATTAATTATTATTAAAAGTCGTCGTCCTCGTTGTTGTGTTTGTTGCCGAGGCTCTTTTCCGAAGGCGCCAAACTTATCCCAATCCGCCAAAGCTCTTTTCACTGCTTAATTATTAATTATTCCGAAAATCGACTAGCCCGTTATGACGCAATGATTTGGCAGTTGCCATACGCGTATATATATATAAATGTAAATGTGTGTGTGCGCACCCACCCGCGAGAGCAAGAGAGGGATACTTATAGAAAGAGAGAGAGAGTGAGACGGAGTTTGTATTTATATATTATACTTTGTACTTTAAATTATACGCAACCGACGCTTTATAACTTCGCTCGCATTTCCCTGACATCGCGTGTGCGTTAATCACGATTTCGAGGTCATATAAATACTAGAATATCGTAATATTGTATACATATATTATAAAGTTATAATATTTTCTATACATTTGTATGCGTTTGGTTTTTCTTCATAACGTTAATAAGACCATTCGATGATACAATTTTTATTCATATCACTGTAGAAAAAGCACAGCACGTGACATACGGTTAAAATGTATGAAGCGAAAATTGTATTGGTTTTACAATATTGTCTCTTTATTTTTTTTTTATACAGTTGAAGTGCTTAAAAAGTTACATGTTAGCATTGTATTGTTACTTTGGGTTGAAAATCTATTTGAAGTGGTGAATACAGAATAGGTACATCCTTAAATTTTGTGCGCAATGAAAAATTACGAAAAACCATTGGACATCATTATAATATATAGCTACAGTGAGTACACGGAAGTGACATTATACTCTTTAGATTTCTATAAATTTGTTTGTACTCGAGATTTTTTGATGAAATATTTAAGACGTAAAAATGAATATGTCTCGTATGCACCACACACATTGTATTCGATAAATGATGTAGCCATTTAAAAGCAGCGAAGGAAAAAAAATATAAAATCCTAAATGTCCACTTGACTGATGCTATCCATTAACGCGACAATTCGTCATAACGAATGACATGACATTTAAACATATAATACAGCAGTGTTGTGTAAATAATAATGTCTTGGCTATGAGTTCTGATTATTACCGGCCTCGCCGTGGGCAAAATTTCCAACTTTTCTGAAGACTACTTTTCTAGTTTAAATAATATTAAGACATTGACGTCTACGGTTTTTTATAATGTCATTGAAAGTCGAAATTTCCGAAACACCGCCGATACGTCATGTTAAATACAATAGCTTCACGGGCCAGGAAAAAAATGAAATATAAACTGTTCCTATACCTATTCGACACTGAATTACTCTGATTTTAAGCGAACAACTTACCCTTTTCTCATGCCCCTTTGTACCATCAATTATTCTCGTAATAGACCAAAATGTTCGGGATGATACGTACTGTTAATATTATATAAATACTATTGTTTAGAGTTTGTATTTTTCTTGTGTATAAAGCACTTTATTTTATGTTTGCTAATTTTATCAGGTCGACTTATACAGCTGATATTGTATATGTTTATTTTTATTATCGTGTGTATACAATGTGGATGTATTAAATATATATATATATATATATTCGATTCTGAGTGGAGCGAAGAAGCTATTGGTTTTACAATGGTGTTTATTATTTTATTTTTTTTTTATATCCTGTATACAAAATTTCTACCAGAAGGAGTGCTTTCATTTCAACATATAGTACCTTATCTTTTAGCAAATTGGATCAAGATGGTACTTTAAAGAGGTAATTTTTCGATTTTCTCAATAATTGTTTAATACCACAGGAAAAACCACCGATAAATTCCGAAAATCCGCTAAAAATGGGATTTAAATTTCTAACGCTTTGTCTATCACCGTGGAAATGAATAAAAAATAATAATATTATAATATTAATTCAACTTAAAGGATATAATAAATAATAAAAATTTAAAAAATCCAGACTGATAAACCGTCTCCGCTCAGAATCGTTTTCCTTATATAATGATATTATATCATTGAACTCAAGTTTAATACAATCCATTATACATTGACCAATTTGTAACCTACTGTACAGCAGAGCGACATCCATTTACCCCCCTTTTTTTTTATTGATTTTAAAGACTTAAACAACTAGGTCATTAGAATACAATTATACATTATTATGCAGCTAAATATTACAGTGTTACATTTACGATTATACATTTTTGTTTTTTAAGTTATTAACATGTTTACATAGTTATCTTGTCTTATTTCAAATTTTGATGTCTTCTGCTATATACCGATGGTTTAGAAAAATTTGTAAATTATATGAGTTATATTTCCCCCGAATTCTTCTTCCACAGTTGAACGATGTTTGTTCTTGCCGAGGCGAATAATGTTATGTTTCGCGTGGTTTACACTACTGGACGAAATGCGTTCGTCTGCACCGATTCTGCGGCCAAGGCTGGTGCATCGTTATAATATTATTATTATTATTATTATTATTATTATTATAAACGCCGATTGGGTTGTCGGAAACAGCCGTACACGCATAGCTGGTGTAGGATACATTTAGTGATATACACGTGTTAGGACCTATATTATAGGTGTTTATATGACTGTATGAGCGGGAAGTGCACATAATATCGTTTCAGTTCGATTATTCGGATTATTCCGTGAGGCATTCCGGCAGGGGCCGTCGGAATTGTCGTCGTCATTTTGCGGTCTAGCCGTCATCGTTGCAATGTTGCAGCATCCCCTTGCGGGGTAGGTTATAACAACACACACGTTGTCATAGATATAGTATATATACCGCTTGTGCCGAGCAATAACACATATTATTATTATTATTACATTCGTCATCGTTGTATAGGTACACAACAGACACATTCGCACACACACATATATATAATAACTATTCTGTTAACGAACCGTCCCCCGGCCACCACCCCACAGGCGCTTGCAGCCCCGTCGATGTTTGTGGTTTCAAGTACGTAATTCTGGCGCTCACACAGCTCACGGCCGTGTGACAATATCATATTATAATATAACGTTATAATATTATATATACGTCTATACACACTTACCCGTCACCCGCTCACCTGTACAATATTGTGCCGTTGCAGACACGCCGAAAACAATAATATTCGGTTCGTCGGTAGGTCGGTGGGTACGGTGGCGGCCAATCGTCGGAGTGGGTGGATGGGTTGGGAGAGGGTGCGATCCGCGTGTTTTTGCGGTCGGTCTGCGTATGACAACCGACTGGTAGCAGAGCTGTATAGTTCTGGCGACGTGCGATTTATGTGCAGTGTGCGATGATATTATTATTAATAATAGTGCGCGTAAGGGATGATAGGTACCGCGTGTCCAGGAAAATCGCGTTCGCTGGAAAAATGAATTTGTCGAGCATTTTATTGAAAGATCGTAAGTCATAGCGGGATGTATGATCCAACAGTTCATAAATATATAGTCTTGTGTCCTGCAATGAAAATTCAAAAATATTTTTGGGGTACCGAGAAATATAAGACGTATAATTCAGTTATACAGTGAATATACCCTAGCTGTTTTTGTAGACGCAGTATATGATATTAGGTATATGCGTTTATTATCAAATTTGGCAGTTTTCGCAGTCCATATTATATTAATATAATGTCTTGTAAACAACGATGTAAAATTATGTCGGTCCGGTCGAAACGTACCTACCTATAATTTAGGTACGACGACATCAGCTGTTACGCGAGCGTTTTTTTTCCGTTTACTTTTCCATTCTCATGATATATACGTATAATATTATATAATAATATTGTATATAATCACTTTGGCGTATATGCGCACAGCGGAGGAAGAGGGAAAAAATGGAAATATTCAAACGTAGACCGAAATTTACATACTCTTTTTGCGCCGTTTGTATGCAAATCATTAAGGAAAACGCTTCCGATGTAAATGCATCCTATTCCACCGCTGCCTCCGAAGAGGTATAAGTATATACGTTTATATAAAGTCGCTTGACGGGACGCAGTATAGGGGCGGGATCTCTCTCTCTCTCACTCTTACCCCTCCCCTCGATCTCTCCAGCCCGTTCTCTTTATCTCGCTCTCTTTGTACAGACGTTTAATTGTTGCCTTTGGAAAAACTCCGTCTTATAAACTTTGCCGGCGCACAACTGCCGGTTAAGTGTTTAATTGGCGAAAACCCCCGTCGGGCGTGTATAAATATTTTAATAACGCCGCCGAATATTTTTCGTAAGAGGATTAAGTATGTGAGTTCCACCGGGTTCCGGATATTTGCGCCTGGACCGATGCTGCGTACCGAGAAATCCGGTTGAATTATTTACACCGAGCAGACCTGTATACAGAGGCGGCAGCGGTGGGAACGACGGCGGCCCGTTCGGCAGTTTTACTTTTTTCTTCATATTTTTCGCCTTTAATAACATTTTTGTTCCTAATTTTTGCCGTATAAATTTTAACGACAACCGCCTCCTCTCCGTCCTGCTGCTGCACCTACACAGTTCCACAATGTGATCATGGTGGTGAAAACGACCCGCTGCCCGCGTTCGGTCTTGCAGAATTAGGATTCTGTCGTGTATCCTCGAACTCCCTACCTGTCCCATTTTTCTTAAAGACTACAACGGGTCGTAGCGAGTCTGGTACAAAACGTTACTTTAGGACACGATTACGGTGTCACGTACGTGCCAATCGTTGATTTGCTAGGTGTAGCAATGAGGACCAAGAAAGTAACTCTCTCTCTTTCGCTCACTCTCTCTCTCCCTCTCTCCCTCTCACCCTCTTTCCCTCTCACCATTTCCCTATATATATATATTATATATATATATATATAAGTATCAACCACATTGCCACTAAAATTATTTTTATCGTTAAGTGTGAAATTCTGACATTGCCTGATGTTATGAGGTCGACTATACGTGATATGCACCTATATGATATTTATATTGTTGCATGGTGATGACGTCACGATTCTACAGACTACTGTATTTTGTTAGACAGTAACTGAAATTAGCTCCTCACTATTTTTTGTTGTTTTTTTTGCAATGTCACGACTCACGATGTCTTACCCTGTTCCTTACTGTACGTTTAGTACCACTGTTTAGTACCTAGCAGGATAGGATGTTGAAACTATCCACGCATTATTATCGTTATAACAGGGCTATATAGCCTTATTAGTGTGGGTCGATTGGTCTCTCATAGTCACGGTAGAACACGAAATGATCGAATTCGAATAACGGTTTTTGCATAATTTCTAAAATATATAGGGCGATAAGGTTAACCAACGACTACGATGTTATTAATGGAAATTGTATGATGATTGATACCCTAGGTATACATTATTGTCACGAAACGTTTCGTGTAGGTATTAAAATCGCATTATACCGCTGTTCGTCGTTATGAGAACGACAGCGATCGAATGGTATTTATGGTATACCTACATAATATAAAATACGTATTTTGATCAAAATATAAATTATTTAAGTTTTGCAATATAGTAAGTTATATAAACAAATTAAATAATATTATGTACGTGAATTTTCATTCAAAAATCTTTCTGGTCTTGCCATTAAGTATTTCAGAGTATTATTATCGGATGCAGGTACCTACCACGCGCACAGCTCGGTTTATTGTTTAATGCGTCTTCTATTTCAGACGTTAAAAAATAACAATAAATTATTTTCTCGTTTCACTATTGCCGCCGTACGCGTAGGTTATAAGTACCAATACGGCAATACCATGGTCATTGATATAATATAATAATAATATATTACTTATGTAAATATAAAGACGTGTTATATTATTATATGCGTTTACCTCAATTAAATATACAGTTGAAAATCGTTATTATATAGCCTATAATAGTCGTCCAATCGAGTTTTATTGGATTTTTATTTGTACAAGCTGTTTATATTGGACCAGCTCTTTCTCTCGTCGATCGGAAACATCAACCTATGTATAGTACAATTCAAAGATATTATATATTCAAACGTCATTGGTGATTATTATAATTTGAAGCTGCCGAAGTCTAAAAAATAATCGTAATAAATTTAATTCGAAATCCCTGTTTGACAGGCTCTATAATCTATATTATGAAATACAATAATATGATAGCTTATTTTATAGAGCAGACTTTGGTATTGTTGCACAACAAAATTATCGTATATAGTTGCAGTTATCGTGTAGCTGCACGAGTGCCCGCTGCTGCACCGGTGCAGTGGTACGTGCATCGAAAACCTTTTATATTTCGATATGGTCGCGAGCTCGTGGGCCATAATAATAATAATATAAATATTATGAAAAATTATGAAAAAACAAAAACGTCCCGTCACCGGTGCGCGTTGCTTACTGCGCACATATTACTTATATGTATAATATAATATAGGAAGGTGCGGCGGCCGATGCTGTTGGTATGTCTATTGTCGATGATCGGCGCGGCAATTGAATGGGAATAAGAGATTTTTAATACGAAAATGATTTGTCGTCGTAGTCGTTCGGCTCGGGCGATCCCGATGATTGATTAGTAGTGCTATACACTGCAGTCGTATAATATAAACTCACTGGCCTCAGCGGCACCCGCGCCTCGCTACCATATATAACATAATATTTATGTGTATACATATTGTATAGTAATACGTTCGCCGAGTCGTTAGATAATTCAGCCGCCGCCACCGCCGTTCTTCAATGGACTTCATCGGAAATCGATGATTAATGCTCTGCTGCAATCTCGCCGTGTTTAATGATATATATTTTATATATAAAATAATATATTATGTGCTCGGCGTGTGTATACCTTTAATAATGCGGCGGTGTCCAAGGACGATACACTACCGTTCAGTGGCGGCTACCGAGAGCGCACAATATATAATAATATTAACGTTTCCTCCGAAAAAGTCAAAGAACCCTTTAATCTCTCGTTTCTATACATTATTTACTATACACAGGTACATCATCGTATACATATATATATACATTACGACCGTGGCTGTAGTTGTACATTACAGATTATATTATTATTATGATAAAATATCGCGTGAACATATATATATATATGTGTGTGTATACCATATTATATGTAAGACGCGGGCCAACTCGCACGTGACGCCATATCGATCGCCACATTCCGGTGTACGATTTCGCCACAGATGTGTGCCGCCGGTATCCGATAAATCACTTTACGGGTGCAGGTTCGATCCCGCCAGCTCGTATTATATAGATCCATGTCGCTGGTGCAGATGACGAGGACGATATTACGGTCGCCGAACTGTAGACTCCTGTAGACTCCTCGTGTAGGGTATTATAAAATATATTATTCGTCCCGAAGACGGCTGCTGCAGATGCATCATCATCTGGTCACAAGCGCGTGTATAGTCGAGACAGAGTTTTACAAAAAAAAAGAAGAAAAAAATATCTTTATACAGTTATACGCCTATATGATATACCGCTTGTCCCCAAAAATAGGGTGCACTCTACAACTTGGTTACCTACTTAATATCACCCAGTACATATTTTTTTAACTAAACTTTTTAGACTAAACCGTTGGAAAACTAAAAACCACCAACACCAGTCCGACAAATTATTTTCAAAGTTTACAGAATTCGATTGATTGACGAGCGGTATCTGTGTATAATAATAATATGTATTAGGTCGTAAACGAAGAATGTTTTCTCGTCTGACGTTTTTACGGACAGTATTAAAAACAACCACGTATAATAAATATATTATGTAAGTATATACCTCGGAAACAATTAATTCTATATGACAATATCATATAGTCATAAAATATATACGGGACTGATAGTAACCGACTTGTTCGATAAAACATTGTATATTATATTTGTATACAGTACATTCCATTAAACCACGGTTACCGGAACGGTCGTTTTATTGTCGAAATCGGTTTTATGTGTTTTTTTAACATCGAAAAACGACTCAGATTGGTACAGACGTGCTCATGTCATCGTAGTCACTCTTTTATTGGAAAAAAAATACGGCATCCGATCGTCTGTAGTATAAGTAAATTTACCTATGTTGGTAACAATCGTTGATCCAACAGGGTGGGAGGTTAAGGGGATTTACCCCCTTTGCAAATGTTATATCTATATTATGTATTTATTTATAAAAAAATCCATAAATGTTAAATAAAATAGTTTTAAAATCGTAACTATCCATAATACTATCTTTAATCTATCATGTACTAAAACTATGATTGTAATTTTTCTGAGAAACCTTACCCCTCCCCAAATATCAGATAGATCCACGCCTCATAGGTAATATTTTGTATAGGAACTAAAGACGATTATAGGATTTTACTCAAACTATATATTGTCGTATCTTGGACTATTCGCGTTCGATCTACTGTGAAACTTTTAGGCGTCAATCACGGGTCACAGTACAGTGCGGTTTTCCGACCTCGTCGGAAACGTATAACGGAGGGTGACCTGGTGATCAGATAGAATTAAATTGTATAAATTCCACTACCCATTTGTAGATTTCTCAAAGCAATTTGGAGCTATATTTTTTGATTTATTCTAGCTTTGAGTTTCAAAATTGAAATTATGACTATTTATTATTATAGGTATTTGTTTTTAAACATCATATTATAATAGTTTGGTCGACTTGGACCATAGGCGTGCGCACAGGGTATGCAGGGTATGCCACTGCATAGTCTGCGGCTTTATGTGAGGGGCCCATATTATATGGTTAGGTTAGGTATATGGGCCATATATAATATACCAAAGCATTTTTGATAATATCTTCTATATTAAAAAAAAAAAAATAAAAATTTTAGTTTTCACTTTTCTCGCGACCCGCAAGATAATCTAAGCTATTAATACACTAGAGCGTAACACGTAGATATTGTTATCTATGTTGTAAGAATAGAATAATTATTATTGTTTTTATAGTTTGTAATCAAAGACCACATTATAATTATAACTGAGTCCGGTACTATGTCACAAGAATGTCTTGATTCACTGATGTTAATATTTATCGAGCAAAAAATGGCATCAGAAATCAATATTGAAGAAGTAATAGATGAATTCAAAACATGTGTGTCGATAAAAAGAAGACTTGAACTTTAGAGTTTAGATTTTAAGTACTTTCCATGAATTAACAACATTATTAATATGTTAAAATTATTCAAAAACATTCATACTAGTATATAATTGATCAAATTTTCTTTAAATAAATATAATTCAAATTTCAAACTACTTATTTCTACAGCGCATTGTTTAATATTCTACTGTAAAACTATGTGTGATTTCAGATTCCGAGTAAAGCAAAAAAGCTAAGTAGTATATTTGCAAAAACTTAGATTGTAAATTGAATCCTATATGTGTTAAAAAAAATGTTTAACGGCTTAGAGTTGTTTTTTAGAATAAATTAAGGAAAGATTAGAATTTGTGAGGGGGCCCTGTTTTCCTTATTGCATAACCTGCGAATAAAGTCTGTGCACGCCTATGACTTGGACAAATGCTTGCAATATGATAATTTTATATAAAATATAATTGAATATATTATAAATATAATTGTTATTGAATCTTATCTGCGTCACATTCACAGCTTATCCACTTTACTATTTTCATCACAACGGATCGCCTTGCAT